GAAAAAAGCTGTTTTCTGTTCCAAAGATGGCAGTAGTTATTTCATTAAGCATTTGGGTCATGGGCTTAACCCTGACTGCATGATGACTGAGGGTAGGTAGGCTTGTTACCTGAGTCTCTGCCCTTCTCTCTCTTTACTAGTTCTAAATCAGGCCTCTTTTAAAGTTTTATTCCTTTATTTACACTGTATGATCTGGGTGTGGAAGCACTGCTCACGCCATGACACACATGTAGAAGTCAGAGGACAACTTTAGGAGTCAATTGCCCCCTTCTACCTTGGGTTCTGAGGCTGGAACTCATGTTGTCAGGTTTGTGTTGCAAATTAGTTTACCTGCTGAGCCATCTCACCAGCCCTCAGCTGTCTTAGATGAAGTTGGGAGTTCTAAAAGGTGAAATATAGGTATTTACTTTGTAGATAAAAAAGCAACTGAGAATAGTCCATATTTTGTTTGTATTTTATCACCTTCTGGAAGAGAAATCATGCAAAATAATAGAAAAATGCTTGGTGAAAAGCAGAAAAACAATTATTGACAGCTAAGACCTAGCCTGGCACTTTCTGCTGGCCCTTGGCTTCTCTTAATGAACATAGGCAGCTACACAGAACACAAGCTCCAGGCAACTGTGTCTGATAGATAAGAGAAAATAAAAGCTCTTCTTAATCAAATGTGAACTCACCTCAGACAAAAACAACAACTTCACCTGTCTGCAGAAGAGACCAGGCATCCTGCCACTGTGGCTAGTCTACTCTGGATAGTTCATCCAATTTGCCCAGACGACAGCCTAAATATTTGCTTTCCAAAAACATCATGTCCTCAGGTAGGTTTCTTTATACCTGCTTGGTAGATAAACTCCATTGAGGTTTCCAGTACCCAGTAACATTTGAAAGATCTTATGTGGAACATACCAGACTGGTTTGTTATCTTTCATTTACATCCTTCCAAATTACTGGGCTTTGGTTGTGTCAAATGGACTAGAACCAATTGCTAATAGTTTCTTTTCCTTGTAGGTTTCCTGTAGGAAGGTCTCATAGCAACTGACTGTATCCACGATGACTGCAGGACTGCAGCAGTTCTTGAATCAGCAAAGCCTTTGGGTGGCTTCTCCCTGGACAAAGTCTCTTTTGAACAGCTCTGGGCTCTACACAGTGCCTAGCTCTCGGTACATTGTGATTCCAGTTTACTGTGTGTTATCCTGAGCTTACTCCTACACTTGGGAAATGTACCAGGATAGATAAACTGGTGGCTCTTTTCTTTTTTTCCCACTATCACTTCTTCAGAGTAGATAGTCAACAGGTGTTTATTGAATTGAATTTCCTAAGATTCAAGTATATAATAAGCTGGGGTGAGAATGGGAGAGAGATAGTCTAACAGCAAACCTGCATGCTGTCAACTTTTAGCCATTCTAGTTGACCAGTGTGTGTGCAGAGTTATCACACCGAGTACTGTTAAACAGTTTTCCTATTAACATGGGCCTTTCTCAGTGCATTTCTTCCTCTCAAATTTGAAAGCAAACCATGCATTCTTCAAGGACACAAAAATGGTAGAAAAAGATGCAATAAATGAAAAAAATCAGGGACACGTGGGAGGTTATTAACATATCTTTCAAAACATAGTTTTAATATTATTTCTATGAAAACAGAAAAATATTGAATTCAATGGTAAATACATGTTAATTAAAACCCTATGTTAGATTTTAGTTTATAAAGCAAAGTGAAGTAAAGCAGTTAATAAGACCAAGCCAGCAGTATGATACTTGCTGGAATAAGACCAGAGCATCAAGGAAGAGTGGCAGCACCTCACTGAGCAGACAGGGAAGCTGTGGGTCCTCTGAAACACGAAATAAGCTTCTAAGGATGAATCTGGATTATTCTACAAGTTGAGTTAATATGGGAAGAAGATGCCTCTCTGGTTTACACTGAAAAAAATTTTTTACTTACCTTGTTTTTTGTTTGTTTTTCTTTTTAAATGACACATGGAGGGAAGATTACCCGAAAAACACCAGGTTATTGTTATTGGCCGGATGAAGACATTCCACACAGTAAGTGTGGAATTTAACATATTCCTTCCTAAGATGGCAATTAATACTGCTAAACAGTGTAGACGCCAGATCTTTGTTTCCATGAATGACTTTAAAACAAGTTTGTTAAATTGTGTTGTGACAATGAGTGTTTGTTTAACAGGAATGCTGTTTGTTTAACAGGAATGCCGAGCAGACCATGTTAAAATGTGGCATTGTCTTGAAGTACAATATAACTGTAAGACATCCTATGTTTAGCAGCACCTTTTTTGGGTATCAGTAAGTAAGTAAAAGAGTAGTAGAGAAAAACACAGGAAAAACTAATGACTGACATAGAAGTCTAACACTATTAACTCCATTTCCAGCATTTCCTGGGTTGACTACAAAAAAAGGAAATCAGGATTCTACAAGTGAGTAGGTTAAGATTAAGCCTTTGCTTGTGAAAAGGCTGGCATTGCATTCCACAAGTCAGTAAAGGCCCCTATCTCCCTTGGGATTATTTCCTTATTTCTAGATCAGCTTCACCCTGCTGGCATAGACCCACTGAGAAACTTTCTATAGACATGCCCCTGTGTCAGATCCTTCAGCAGAACAGAGGAATGCTTTGATATGCACAGACATATTCATAGTAAAGTGAGGACCTAGGAATTGGGTACAAATTAAAAGGTGGGCACCATTAGAACTATTCTTTGAAAGGGCTCAATGGTGATAGCCAGTAATAGAAACACTATCCTTCATGAGACTGAGTACCTCAGAGCCATGCCTTTGGATGAAATCACACACAGGAAGGGATATACTGCTAAACATCTGTGATAAATGCTTACATTTTATTTAATGAAAACAATCTGAATTTGGGTGACATTAATTTGGGTATAATCTGTAAATTCTGTAAGTAGTATAATGTTGATTCTAAGGGGAAATTTTCATTTTATAAGTCGGTAAAACATTGATAAAATAATGTATGCAATTCAATTTTTGTTTGTTTTTCGAGACAGGGTTTCTCTGTATTGCTTTGGTGGTTGTCCTGGAACTTGCTCTGTAAACCAGGCAGGCCTCAAACTCACAGAGATCCTCTTGCCTCTGCCTCCCGAGTGGTGGGATTAAAGGCATGAGCCACTAACGCCCAGCTGTAATTCATATTTTAAAGACTATAGTTTTCTTAGGTATAGGAGAAAATATTAAGTGTAAAACTCCTTTAAATATAAAATTGCTTTACTTATAAATGTCTAAGAATATTTGGGAAAAATGGAATATCCGGGAAACAAATCAAAAAATATATTTATTATAACCATTATTTGTTTTAGTAATATATGGATCTGGTTGGGTAACCACAGACAGGTGTTTTCCTGGGGAAAGCTTCAAATGCTAGGTGCCCATGCAACTAATAAAGTCTTCCCTAACCGTCAGCACTGGGCTTCTGAGAGATACAGAGGTCTTAGAATAAGAGCATTGCACACTTCTTAAGTAGGCAAATGGAGGCATGAAGTAAATGTCTCCTAGGTTCCCCTTCAGAATGCCTCATGTAAGAAAATATTAACTTTTTTCATTTCAAGTCATCCCATTTTGCCCTGATAACTTCTAAAGATTTAGGAGAGACTTTGGTTATAAGAAGCACTTCTGGGTTCTAATAGACAGGGATATTGTTGGGGGAACTGAAGATAAACAACAGGAGCAATAGTCAAGGTTAGAAAGTGAAGTGGGTAAGTTATAAAAATTTATTCCCCTACGAAATAATTGCACAAGCTGTGTAAACATTTCTTACTAAAACAAAATACTCAGACACACAAAGATTGTACATTTCCAGTGGAACACTCACAGTACAAGATGCCCGTGTTTTCTCTTTCAGGAGCTAAAGCAAGGAGTCTGTAGATGAGTGCTTCCTAGTTAGTTACCTTTGGCAGCAAGCTTCTTCACATTCCCTGGCTGCTCAAGGGGTTTTTAAAGCAACATACAACATAGTTAAATAGTAAGCCAGGTGGGCAGGGTTCTCAGCCTCTAGTTTCTGTATCAGTCATTTGTATTCCACTTCACCTCAGCCACTCACACACTCACACTCATGTGCACATGGCGGGTTCGGCTTGGATACTCCAGTGCAGTGACTATAACAGACACTAGCTGCTAAGAACGTGTTTGTCACAATCAGTGTGGGCTTATGGAGTAGAAAAACCTCTGGAGTTTAGTTATATTTACCATAATTTATGGTTAAAATTAAAAAGTTAAAATGGGATAACGTTCAGAAATCAAACCTCAAGTCAAGCAATCACACATATTTACAATATGTACAGGCTCTCTTAGAATGGGGAGAGGTGTCTAGACAATGTTGTTAGAAATTTCCTGAATGTGGGCATTTCTAATCCCTGTGATTCATAAAGCAAATCTGCTGACTTGGCATTTAGACCCTAAAATAGTGTGATCAAACTGATATATATATATATATGTATATATATTATATATAATTATAATAAGGTGTTTGCAGAAATAACATTTACAAACTGTCTATACAGTACACAGTACTAGTACATAGAAAATAGATTCTAACTTTATAATCCCCTTTGTGTAAGGCAAGACTGAATCTGTCCCCAAATTTAGTCAGCCAGAGGTACAAGCAAGAAACAGTGGTCCATGGAAGAATGATGGGTCGGGTATCTGGGTATTAAAAAGCTGGAGAAATTCCACTTGTTATCTGTGCTGCATCTGGCTCACTGGATCCATTACGTACACTTCTGAAGCCACTGTGTTAAGTGGCAGCTACCCCAAACAGCTTTTGAAGAGTCCAGGATAAAGATGGAGGACTGCAGCTGTACTAGGTCAATTTATGTGGTACTTACAAAAGAATGTATATTAATACTTGATTGCATGCTATTGCTATTCAAGCAACAGCAATACAAAATATACAAGACAGATCACAGATGGTTGCAATGTAGCCCCCAAAGATTTTGCTTAAGGATGATGTTACATAAGACATGGGGGCAGGAACACACATGGTCATTGGCGGATATAGACATCCCTATTCCACTCGCCAGCCTCATTCCTTCTCTTGGACATTACTTCCCCTTCCTTGTCACAGTAGCGATCCTTAGATTTATGCCGGCTTCGTTGTTTGTTGCACTCGTGGTCCTGCTCTCGCCCCATGTCCCTAGAGCGGTGGCGAGACTCCCTGTGTCTGTGGCCATTGCTGCTATGGGTCTCATCTCTGTGGTTATGTTCACGGTGTGGGGCATAGTGGTCTACATGTTCATGTGAATAGTCTTCCTTTGACTCCACATAGGCAGAGTCTCGGCTCTCCTGGGTTTCAGAGTCAAACGTCTCTTGCCTAGAGAGGCCTCGACCTGCCCCACTTCGGTGGTTTTGGTGTGTGGCTGAGGAGGAAGAACGATGTTGGGATTTCTTGACTGGTTCCAGACAAGGTTCTTCTTCAGCTTGGGAAGCAGACCTGGGAGCAGAGCGATCAGTCCTCTGATCACCTTGAGAACCCTGGAGAAAAGGGACCCAGATGAGGGAATCAACTAAGGACAGAACCTAAGGAACTTTAAAGTGTCTAGAGAGCAGCACTGTGTAAGTACATCCCTTTCAAGTACCCAAATGCTGAAATGAAGCTTCGGCACTTTTGAGACACCTGGTGGCACTGCCTAAATTGGACTTCTGTTCATAGTAACATTTCATTTTAAAGATGGGGAAAGAATGTTCTTTTATAGTCTTTTGTGATTCTAGTACCGACACAGGTGTCTTATACCTTAGCTTTAGCTAATCTGCTTGAGTAGATTAAAACTCATTAAGATGGGGCATTTAATGGGATATGTACTATTCTAGAACCCTCACAAACGAGAAGTGTCCTTAAGTTGGCTGCTAAATTTCTATTTCTCTGCAAGTGGCATAATATGGAGCTAAATCCTTTGAGTCAATTATGAAGCCATTTGATCTAGCTCACTATTATGGTTTTGGAGGCTGGAAGAGACAAGGAACTTGCTGAGGTTGTAAACACAGCAAGAAGCAGAGCAATAAGGGTTTGACTGCAGCCAGTCTACCAGTTAGGGGGCTTCAGAGGCTGAGCTGTTTGTAGTGTGATGTTCAATTTATTCTTTGCTTACCGGTACACAACTCATACTAGATGGACTTGGTTAAATGGCACACATGTTTCTTAGTTTGGTGAACAAAGGATAGTTAAAGCAAGCACGGAATTGCCTCTCTGGGATTGAGTCCCAGGGGTATCAGCTCAGGCAGCCTAGATTCTGTAGGAAGACCATAAAAGGAAGCCCTCTTACCTGTGAATTAGAGGCTAGGGTGGGGCTCATAGGCAAACTTGAAGTGGCTAAAGTTCGGCTAAGGAGAGGGTTAGGGAGGTTACTGCTGGGTGGGTGGGTGGCCTTCCAGTAGGCCTCCAGATAGTCAGCAAGATGCTCACAAGCATCCTCAAGCTGGTTCTCATCCAAGATCACATCAAATGACTCCTGCTAAAGTAAGCATTTCAGATAGTACATTAATGCAGCCCAGGGCCAAGCTCCCTCTCCTCCCCAAACCTTCCATTGTATTTGTTCATGCCCTGTTTTTTCCTTTTCTATTGGCTGAGTCTCTTAGCTTATGCATGTGTGTCACCTCAAATCCTTAATTAAAACACTGAATAGTTACTAATTGACCAAAAGTGGACAGTTGTCAACATGATTGGTAAGAGCAATGCAGGGAAGTTATTATCAGTTGTGAAAAAAAAATGCAATTTAGAAGGGCGCTTGTTCTTGATACAGACTGCAGGAAGTACTGGAAGTTATTGAGGCAGGGTTAGGTCATGCACTTTGGCAATAGTCCAAGCTTGACAGTTCATTGGGAGGAGAGATCCTTTACTTTTGGAGATTTAAAATTGTTGATCTAGAAATTTAATCAATCAATCAAATCCAGAGTTACATCTTGTATAGCTTTTGAAATAGTTGTATTTTAATGAACACTAGATGGGAACTATAGTCCCAAAACTAAGAATGTGTTTCTGGGAAACTTAACTGTTTAAAAATTTGGTTGGGGGTGATGAGATAGCTCATTGGGTAAAAGTGCTTGCTGTGCAACCGTGAGGGCCTGAGTTCGAATCTCCAGAACCCATGTCCAAACCAGATGCATAGCACTGAGCTTCCATAATGCCAGCACTCCTACAGGAACATAGGCCACAGGCAAGAGGATCTTGGAAATCAGCCAGCCAGCTAGCCTAGTGTACACAGTGGCCAACAATAAGAAACCTTGTCTCAAACAAGACAGAAGGTGGGGAACAACACCCACAGTTGTCCTCTGACCTCCATGTACCTACTATGGTAAGCAAGGTTACATCTTCATTCTTATAAATGAAAGTCAACATTTAGTTTGACATGATCCCAAGTCAATTTCTCAGACATTTGTTAAGAGAAGACAGCTTATTCCCTGTGGCTAGATGTGAATAGAAACCAGACTCTAAACAGGTCTACCATATAAAAATTATATGATTATAAAAATCATAGTCCTGTATTAGAAAGTGAGGCCTGCACAGAATGCATGGTTATTACTTTTTTGGGAATGAATGCCATTGTAAGTAAGGAGGAGCATCTTCCTGCAGGTATGAACTTTCAGCTGTTTGCACCATGTAGATAACTTACCGGAGGACACTGGGCCAGTTTATCAGCTGCTACCATCTGGACATTGAGGTGTTTTGCTTGAGATTTCCCTCGAGATTTTATTAACCTTTGTAAAACCTGGAAAAGGTAGGGGTTTGTAACAGAGGAATATCTGTACTAGGTTAAGCTACAGGGTACACTATGAACTACTTTATAATACATAAATATGTAATACATTATGTAAATAATACACGAGTGAACAGCATATATGATTGAGAAATAGAGATTAACCACAAAATTAACATTCTTGCATAAGTTTCTAGTAAGCTTTAAAAACTAGTATAAAGCTGATGCTGAGTCCTTTAAGTTTAAAAAAATTATGAATCCCAAAGGTCCATTGTTTGTAGGAAATATTTCTAGTATTTATAAGAAATCTTAGAACTGTTAATTCCTCTAAAAAATAAATCTGGCACATGTTAATATAAATCACCTTTTAAGAAATGATTGCTTCTATATGCAGTTTGCTATAGTGTACTGTTTTCTTGATATTTGTAAAGAGACCATGACAGATATACAGTTAAATAAAGGGAGATGTGTCAGTTGTACCTCTTCAGAGAGTTGGTAAGACTCTTTGATACTATACTGAAGACCAGCAAGTTTACTCCCCAAAAGACCTGTGGCCATGAAGACTCGGGAGCCACATGGAACAGCTTCAAGTTCCAGAGTGAGACAGTCCCTCGGTCTGTACTGGAATTTGACTGGACCTTTCACTATGAATGATGTGTAAGGTAATTCATGGCATTCAATCTTCTATACATTTATATACTTCATTGTTTAGTATTAGTACTGTAGGAAACAAACAGTTCTTTTGAAGTGTCTGACTGCTAAGTACTACATAGGTCTGAATGAGCATCCTGTCATTAGTCATGAAAACAAGAGCTCTTAGCACAGTGGCCTTGGTGTTTCTCCTTGAGACAGTTTACTCTGGACAGTGGCTGAACGTTTTAGTTCATTACACACAGTGTTAAACAGTTTGTTACTACTGTATTAGTACATTGTGTGAAACTGGTGTTTGTAACTGTGAGAGCCTAAATATGTGTTTGCCACTACATGTATTCATGATTGGACTCCCAGCAGCTTTACCACCATGTATGCAGATGCCAAGAGTGTTGAAAGGAAGCAACATCTTAAATTGATCATGGAAGCAGCTTTTACATTATGAGCTCTCTGAAATCATGGCAGTGACTCATGGCCCACACTTAAGACCACTGCTCCCAGCCATAACACTAACCACACTCATATTTTTCATAAAACTTCTTGACTAGTGTGGATTTTTTCAAAAACTCTATGTCCATAATAAAGCCTTAGCCTGTGACTACTGGAAAGCATAAAACACATTGCAGTAGTTTCTGAATATAGAAAAACAATGCCATCCCCACTTACCTTAGGTGAAGAAATCTTTACATACACTATAATAGGGGCCAGAGAGGTCTTACTGAGTTGAGCTGGGTGATTAATTGTATCCGCATCAAGGACTACCAATTGCAGTGTTCTTGCAAGTTCAAAAATCCTTTCAATTTCACTCTGAACTTCCGCTGTAAAGGTTAAAAAGAGTTTGATTATTTAGAAGGACACATTTTTAACCTACAGTAGGCTGGAATAAAGTGGTACACTATTTCTTTATCCAGAGAGTTGGCTCCTATTTTAGTGATTAGAGTCAATATGACTGATGAAAGGTGTCCTTTGGCAAGGGCTATTTGCTCACACCTTGTCCAGGAATTGTCCTTATGTCCTTGCACATGTTGGATCATCCATTATGTAAAGATGTACAACATAGAGAGAGAGAGAGAGAAAGATGAAGGCTGCCTGTTACAAACTATACTGCATACTTTCCACCAATGAAGACATGGTCTTAAGTATAATAACCTGTTCAGTCTACACAGTGCTACCTGTATGTATGTTTTCAGGGTTGACCATTTGGTACTGAACAGTGGATTGGTGTGTTCTGCCCTGGGGAGGACCATTTCTCCAGTTCCCAGCTTTCCTCAGTTGCATATAGTTCTTTGAATAGAGTTGAGGCCTTGTGAACTTTTCTCCATCCAGTTTGTCATGTTCATTGGTTTCTTCCTTGTTTAGCTCACATTTGGGCAGTCATGTTGGTGAGACTTTACAGGTGTAGCCTCTGACATTACTATGAATATATATGTATATACATATATGCATGCAATAACACTTTGTTAAAAAAGAGGTCATGAATTTAAAGGAGAGTAAGGAGGGGTATTTGGGAGGGTTTGGAGGGAGGAGAGGTAAGAGAAATGTAATTAAATTAAAATCTCAAAACTTAAAGAGGTGGTTTTGTAATATGTTTCAAAGGATAGTTTCCCACTAGAAGCATCATGTAAAATGAAATTAATGGCATCAGTTCTTGCCCTCTGCAAGGATTCCACTACGTGACTCCCCAGTTGAGCATCTGTGATAATGGGGATACTCTCCACACTCTAGTGTGGTGGCTGATAGCCATGTGTGGGGATACTCAGCACTTAAAATGTAGCTAGTCTGAATGAAAAACTGAATTTTTAAATTTTAATAATTTATTATTGAACTGTAAAGTGCATGTGGCCTCTAGTTCTTTCTAGGTGAAAGGTCAATTCCATGAGACTCCTTCTGACCATCAGTTGTAGCCCAGTTTTTTCAAGAAAAAAGTTTTATGAGAAATGGGAGATTTGAGAGACTGAATTAAAATATACAGACTCTATCCTATTAAGACAGTCGTTTGTGTAATGCATGAATAAACTTGGTAAAGTATGTCTGTGATTGTCTGTGATACCAATAAGCCCTGGTTGGGAGGGTAAAGATTCTATATAAAAGAATATCAGCTATAAATAGTTCTTTAGCTTCATAACTCCCAGATGAAAGTGTCTTCAACACTATACATTCTACAGTTGTCACTGGCTGGAATGTCGTTTCTTCCCAGAGGCCTTCCCTGTATCCAGTCATGCCCTTCTCAGTTTATTTTCCGCTCCCTGGGCTCATTAGCCACTGACCAGCTATCTCTGATTTTCAGTTCATTTACAGCTATGGATTGTGTCCTTTGCTTCAATGACCCTGGAATACTGCCTAGCAACAGTTAGTTCCTTACTGCTTTAAGCACAAGCTCTTTAGAAAGCACCTTAATGTTTTACTTTACCTCTTTATGGTATGCCTTCTACCTCCCCTTTCTTAAACTATACACTTTAGTCAAAGTGACATGTGTTTTCCAGAATCTTCATAATTGCCATTGTCTCAAACCATCACCTCATCACATTCTCAACCCCTTTCCCTTCTACATGCTTCAAGTCTCAGCTCAGGACACCTCCTGGGAAAGCCTTCCCCATGGCCTACACCTACTGCAGCATTAGCTCTTTGGCACCAGGTTTAGTTCAAGAACAGTGTTCATTCTGTACCTCAGTGGTTATTTGCCTTATTGCTGTTCTGAGCTCCTAGGCACAGGGCTGTATCAAATCTTTCAGGCTTTAGCACATTGTTTGGTACCTAGTACATGCTCAATAAAATACATCGAGTAGAAGAGGCATTTAAAAAAAACTTCACATCCAATAGTTGTAAAGCCTTTGACAACTTAAACCAGTGTATCATGCTGTTGATTTAGTTGGTCACTGTAAATAAACTGCTTGACTTTGTTAATTGGTTGAATGTATGAAATGATGATTTTATAACAATTTAATTACCAGATAAAATGTGATAATTTTGTTTTCTTAAGAAAGAAAGAACTGTTATAAGCCAGGCTATCACTGTGTGGTCCAGGCTACTTTTGGACTTTAATGTTTCTGCCTCATCCTCTGAAGTGCAGGGTTAGAGTAGGTGCCACCGTACCTAAATCTCTAATATGTTTCCAGACCTGTGTCACTAAAGGTTCATCTCTGAGGGCCTATTAGGTGACAAAATGAAATTGAATGTTTTATGTTGACATGCATGCAGGTGCCCAAAGAGGCCAGGAGAGGGTGTTGGATCCTTTGTAGCCAGAGTTACAAGTAGTTTGTCAGCTGCCTAGTACATACAAGGAACTGAATTCCAGTTCTCTACAAGAGCAGCAAGTGCCCTTATTCATTGAGCTATCCCTCCAGCCCCCAAAGAGAGTTTTATGAAGTATTACTACAAGATAAAATGTTGTAATTTATAGCTTAGAGTAAGTGAGAAACTTGTATACTTAAACCCTGCCTCCCAAAAGCTTCACTTATGTAATGTAAATTAAGGAGTTAAGTGGACCTAAACATGTCCCACAACTTTTAGAAATGTATAAAACCAAAAGCCTAACAATATAGTAGTTTAAAGTATACCAGTAATTAAAACACCAAGCACATGTTTCAGCAAGCTATAGTAGCTGCTAGAAGATCTGTATTTTATCTTATCATTGTATGTTAATCAGCAGTTTCCAATCACCTCTCTGTAAAGACATCAAAGTCCCCATGCTGCTTTTACAAATTAAAAATACTGATGCAACTCAGAGGACAGACAAGAACTGACTTCTGTTATCCATTTCCTCCATTGTCAGCCTCAGCATGTAAATCATAGTTTTGAGTATGATTTCATCACTGCTGTGACCATTCAGTGAACATTTCTGGAACAAATCACAGTGCTGATGGCAGGTGGAATATTTTGACTTAAGCTATCTTAATAATCCACACAAATTATTAGGACTATAAACTAGCTATTTATATAAATTTTTCTATATGGTACCTGAAGTTGTTCTATAGTCAGATCTGCTCACTGTTATTGTTGGGTAAGGAATATTTAAATAGCTTAAGCTCATTGATGTTGGCTGACTTACCTAAGCTTGACCTTGTGTTGGATCTTTCTATTATTGCATGCTTACTGGGGTTGTTTAATACTGAGCGTTTGGCGAGGGAGATGTCAGCAGTGACTCTTGTAATGGATATCCTGTTGGAGAAAAGAGAAAACCTTCAGATTCTTAAGCTAATAAAACAGAAGTATATGTCCTAAATTTAAAGGATGATTGATATAGAAGTATACATCTAAGGGGCTAGAGAGATGGTTCAGCAGTTAAGAGCATTTGACATTCTTGCAGTGAACCCAGGTTTGGTTCCTCACACCGACATGGTAGTTCATAACCATCAGTAATTCCAGTTCTAGGAGATCCAGTGTCGTCTTCTGACATCCATGGGTACCAGATACACACTCGATATATATACATACACGAAGACAAAACACCCATACATATTCAATAAGTAAATATAAACTTGAAATACACGTGTAAGTATCAACACTGCCTGGATGGCCAGGAACCAGAGACAGGACAGTCCAGAGAAGCCAGATAGAACCAAACACGAATGGCAAAAAAAAGTCAATGAATTGATTCTTAAATGATATTCTGTTATACTCATAGATTGGTGCCTAGCCTAATTGTCACCAGAGGGCATCATGTCATCTAGCAGTTGATGGGAGCAGAAACCCACAGCCAAAGACTAGGTAGAGCCAGAGGAACCCTGCAGAACAGGGGGAGGAAGGATTGTAGGAGCCAGAGGGGTAAAGGACACCATGATGAACGTGATCTACAAAACCAACTAAGAAGGCCTCATAGGGGCTCACAGAGACTGAAGCAACAAACACAGACCCTGTGTGGGTCTGATCGAGGTGCTCTGCATATACCTTATGTTGTGTAGCTTGGTATTCCTGTAGGATTCCCAACAGTGGGAATGAGGGCAGTCTCTGACTTTTTTTTTTTTTTTTTTTTTTTTCTTTTTTTTGGGCCCATGCTTGGGACCCTTTTCTTCCTACTGGGTTGCCTCATCCAGTTTTGGTTTGTGTCTGGTCTTATTGTAACTTGTTAGGCTATGCTCAGTAGATATCCCTAGGAGGCCTGCTCTTTTTTGTTAAGGAGAGATGGGGGAGAGAGGAGGTACAGGAGGGACTGGGAGTAGTGAAGGGAGGGGAAACTGCAGTCAAGATATAATGTAGGAGAGAACAAAATAAGATAGACTCTGTCATGTAGCTGGCTTCAGACAAGCTCTTGCTCCTACAGCTCCTGAGTACTGGAACTACAGGTATGTGTCACTAAGCCTGGTCTATCCCCAAACCCCATTGAGTGTATTTGAGGTAATACTGTTCTACAGCCTGGACTAAAACTATTATTTTTGAAGACACTGTCTCACATCTAAGTAAATTTCCTACACCAGAATATAAAGTGATGTAACATTTCCCAGGATTATTGATTTCCGGCAAGACTCCTTCACAGAACATCAGACAACAGTGCCTAATATCCCTGTAGCAATTCAGTACATACTCCAAACACTTCAGGGCTGACAACTGACATTTTGAAAGTCATCATGGAAGAAAGGCAGCTTTACTAAACCCAGATAGTAGCTTGCCTTCTTCGCCGCTTCCTTGTTAATGCACCTGTTGTTATTCTAAAAGTTCCAATGATTGCTTTGCTTACATGGCAAACTGGTTATGGCAGGTCCAGCTGCTGTACTAATGAAATGAAAGAGAATTTACCAGCTCTTCTTTGATTTGACACACACTGTTTCACTGCCCACAGTGATTTTGACTGCTCTCCAGAGCTCCCACAAATGATCTTAACTGTGAGGGCTTAATACCACAATTCTTGATAGCCTAGAACTTTGCCATTGCCAACATTTCCCGTCACACTCTTCCCTTGTGGCCCTAACATTTTAAAAATCAGCCAATTATAAAGATTACTTCAGTTATCCTTAGACTGCCCGGGTGTATATACAACCGAGGCTGCTGACAAGTTCCCACTCTGTTTCTGTCTTGCTTTTCCAGCATGAAAAACATCTAATGAGACGGTTAGACCCTGGATATGCTCCCATGAGTAAAGGTGAAATTTTTACATCTTTTGAAATTCTACTTTATGAATTCTGACTTCCCTTGGGAACCCTTAATGCATGGTCACAGGCCTAGACTGTTGGTCATGTCTTGCCTATCCTGAACCCGTATTCCATCAGTAATGCACAGGGAAAATACTTTTGTCTAGAAACAATAGACTAGCCCTGCATTATGTTATTTCATTTATTTTCTTCCCAGGTAAAGTCAGTTTGGTTATATGATGCCATAGAGCATAGGCCTGAGATCCAGATTCATTAATGCTCAGGGTTGAACAGAAGTAGTAAGTTGGTGAATCCTACTTGTCTACTTTCTGCAGTTATAACATGGCAGTGAACATTTACTTTGTCCATTTCACTCATAGATGTCACAGAGCCCACTTTAGCAGAATTTGGGGATTATGCAGATAATTTCAGATTGTGATGAATGAAAGAGCTAAGAACAATGAAATAAAAGTCAAAGTAGGACCATTCGAAGCTTATCTTTCCTGGCACAAATGATCAAATATTTTATAAACTGTAATGATGTGTCAATAGGCCTTGACTATATCTTCTGTACTTTTGAAACACAACTGCTACTCCCCTTTTTCTATTTCATTCAGTCCTTTGCTGTATCACACTTGGTATCAGTTGTCAGAAATGGGGGCTGGAGAGATGGCTCAGAGGTTAAGAGCACTGGCTGCTTTTCCAGAGGTCCTGAGCTCAACTCCCAGCGACCACATGGTGGCTCACAACCATCTATAATGAGATCTGGTGCCCTCTTCTGGCATGTAGGCAGAACACTGTATGTATAATAAATAAATAAATCTTAAAAAAAAAAAAAAGTCAGAATGGCATGTGTAGGCAAAGTCTGAAAGGATGCTAAAATACAGATTATGATCAGTTGCATTTTTGTTGTTAGCATAGAGAAAGAAGAATATGGCAAAGAACCAGTTTTATCACATGGGAAATGGAGATATGCATACTAGCGCTGCATGCTCTCAGGTCACCTGCTACTAATCTCAGACTGAACCTGGAAGTTTTACATGCTGGATTCTTACCATGTTTCTGGTGGGTTATGAGGTTATTGGTGTTTATTATAACACCCATTGATTATTTGATTCATCTGTCTTTCAGTAGTCACACATGCTTTCTGTTGTCTCTGTGGTTACAGGAAATAGTTCCCTTGAGTTCAGTTTAATCCAAGTGGATATTTGTCAATGTTAGTGTAGTGTGTTTGTGTCCAGGATACTGTAGTTCCTGTGTCAGTGTCCATAAGCTAAACTCTGCTTGACCCCTGCTAACAAGCCCCAGTCTGTTTGATCTTTTGGCCATCTCGCGCCCCACACAAAACTGTATCTTGTATTCACTTCTGCCTCTTCCAGAAGACTTGTGCCAGTTCCTCTGTCTATAGACCTTTACCCTCTGTGAAGCTAAGGTCCCTGTCTTTTTTTACTTTTTCTTTTTAAATTGAAGAAGTAAAGGGTTGAGTCCCCTCTCATAGCCAGGACTTTTTAGATAGGCCCATGGCTATTAATGGCAGTTTCCTGTGTAGGTCCTCAGAGTTTGCTTTATTCATAATGTTACATCATACCTTGATACCTTCATACCCTCCTCTGATTTGGTTGGTGAGAACTTAGAAGATTAAAAACTTTTCTAGATAGCAACATCCTCAAATCTATTGATTACTCCTTTCTCTGTACTACCTGTACACATACACATGCTGGGTTGGCCTTGTATTTATATTCTGTTTTGCTGTATAAGTTTCAACTTAAAATTTACAGGTGGGTACTTCAGAGGTAGGGACAGTGGCTTCAGTGTGAAGATTCAGCACTCAACTATCTTTTTCATATTGAGTACTTCTGCAGGCACTGAGAGTACCAGGGTTCATAAAACATTGAATACCCTGCCCTCATTCTTGCTGGAGAATTATAACAAAAAAATCATACACATAAAAGAATACCAGAAAAAATGGAGAAGGGAGAGAGGCCATGTTTCCAGGAGAATATGTGAAGAAAAGTTCCCACCAGAGAAACCGGCAAAGAACAGATACTGATGTGGACATGGGCCTGGCTGGCTGGGGCACACATGGTGCTAAGGAAGTGAGTGTCAGGGAAAATCTAACTGGAGTGGCTATGAATGCAGAAGGAGAGCAAGTACAGTGTGAACAACGCAGTGAATTCTCTAGGAAGAAGGGAAAAATGATCGAGCTGGGTGGGAGGTGGGAAGGATGTTTGATCAACTGTGAGGAGAAATAACTGCAGCTAATGGCATCTTCACTAGGTCAGGAGATATTGATTAGAGAGGGACATATGGCAAGAACAATGTCTGGGTAGTCTGAGTGGGAAGGAAATGGGGAATGTGGTCTAGTGTCAGGTGGTTGTGGGTTAAGTTAACCATTGCTAAGAAAATCATAGAAAGGGGAAACAGAACATTCAGGCAGTCATGCAAGTGGGGATCAATGCAGTGGGGATAACTCATGTCTTCTGTTGGCTTCTAATCCTCTTGCCTCCAGGAAGAATCTAGCTATGAGACCGAGGCTGGCGTTATTCCTCTGCCTCAGGTCAGGGGCTAGGGTTACAAGCATGTGTCAGTTCCAGCTTGACTGTTTTCTTAATGAAGGAGAATTTAATTGCACCCTGGAAAAGTGCAGTGAGAAGGGCTTAACAGTTGATGGGGGGAGAGGATGATAGGAAAGTCTTTTGGAAAGGCAGGGCAGTGCTTATGATACCTGGGCAATAGTAAGGAACCAGTGGCTCATGAACTGAAGTCGAGACAGTGGGCAGAGGTGGGGCCTCATTCAGCTTACAGATACAGGTGCAGGGACCTTAATATACTGGGATGAGGATGTTCGACACAAACACTGGATCATATTGCACGAAGTGAAGCCTACTTCCTGTCAGAGAGAACACTTTACTACTCTTGGGATCAAATATCTGACCATCTTCAAGACAAAAATATACAAAACCAGCATTGTGGGATACTTACCGCCCTTCAAATCTGTGTTTTAAAAAATCGAACAGTGCCTTCTGCATCATATCTGTAACCTGTAATTGGATAATAAATTAAAATGTGAGAAAATCTGAGGATAGAAAAATTGTTACTGATTATGAGAACTAATTTTATTTCTCATCATTAACATTTAAAAACCTGAGCGTCACATTTGGAAGAAGTGTGGTTACCACATTTTCTGATTCTAAACCCTAATGAAATGACAAGATAAAATTTCTGAGGTTATGATGTTTCAGTGACAAGAAATTACTTTGCAAGGGCTTGCAGACATTCTCCATTTGATATTGTTTCCTGGGTATGGTGAGGTATAGTTTGCAGGAGTATCCAAGGCAACTTTCAGGAAAGTAGACCACTAAATGAACTATACCACAGCCTGAAAACCAGCATGCTTAGCTGCCATGAGTCAAGCAAGCTCCGATTCAGTTCATACTCACCTCATACCCCTTCAGAGAAGGGCCCACTAGGACCACTGGTCGCATGGATGGTACCACATCATAAGGGGGAGTGTGCTCTGTCTGCAGAGAGATGAGACACGGTTAGACTTCTCAAAGGCAGTGGCTCTGAAATATTTTTTGCATAAGGTACTCTTTCCTGAACTCTAATATACAAGATGCTGATTTTTCAGACACTGAAACATTTCCATAATTGCCTCTTTTCTAAGTAAATAAACCCAATAAAAGATTGGTAGTTTTTTTTTCCCTAAGGTTTAAGTTACTGACTATTACTATTCTCTAGTTTCCTTACATATAAACTCCTTGGCAGAACAAAGAGTAATAACGCCCAATGCAGACTAAGTGCTTTAGGCTCAACTGTACATCACTTCATTGCTCTTGGATCATGGTTAATTAGGAAAGACAAAGCCCTGTTAGCTTTGCATATGATATGTTGGACTTACCTGTATAAACCCTAGTTTCCAAACATTGTGTCTCTTCGTTACCAAATGCTTGGAATTCCATTGAAATTTTGAGGAAGCAGAAATTGGCATGCATGTTAGCTCTATAGCAGTAATCACCCTCATTGTTCACAACTTCAGGACCAGTGCCTTGGAATTTTTTACCTCTGTTTTTTGGCATTAGTAAACTTCTCAAATCAAAATTTATGTGCACTGAAAGGAGAGTGAATGATTTGTCATAATTTTATTTGACCATGTTTCAGTGGCTTCAAAACATTTAAACTACCTTGCATATCTGTTTCTGAAGCACCTATTAGATAGTTTCTGTTCCAAAATTGATTCATACCTTTCTGTGGGTAATTTGTTCATTTGTTTGTTGTAGAAAAAGAGGGTAGGAGCTATATTTTATTGCCATTTTTAAAACTATCACTTTTCAGCTTGTTTTTTTCTTCAAATAAAAATTTGAAGAAAACTTAGATAATATAATTTGCTTGATGAAATTTAAACAAGCTTTTGTAACAGGCACTTGTAAAGTGATGCAGAAATAACCTTCCTTAATGCCCAAGGGCAGGAGATAGCGATTTGGACATTGGATGAACAAATTTACTCTCATTAATGACTTGTGAGCTCTGTAAGACACATCCTCCCTTAGAGCATCTGAAAAATATATTTTAAACATGGCATATGCCAAAATAATTTTAAAAATTTCATCAACTGTTGTATATGTAATATGTACACCATTCTGTCACTAAAAGCCATTTGATTGTTCCTGAAAAATCACCCATCACAAACTTGCTGTATTCCTATATTTCTCTTGCTTAATGGGGCTATGTAAACACACATAAAATTCAACAGTGTCATATGAGCTTTCACCAGTAGTTGTAGAGCATATAATAAAATGGAAAAAGATATTACTGTAAATGGGATATTCACCCTTTACTGCTTAAAATTTTCCCTAGCACTCAAAATTTCCCATTAATAGACATGATAAAGATAAAATTACATATTTAAATGAGATTTTAAAAATTAGACAAACACAATATAGTGACAGCACAAAAGCCAGACAAGCAGCGCTCTAAAAGCAACACCGAAGACAATTGGTGTGGACTCACACACAGCCAGCTCTCTTGTTCTGAATTCTACATTATCACAGAGTAAGGAACACAAGAGTGAGCACCAGTGCCACAGGCATCAGAAGCATATTTGTTAAGTGATTGCATTTCATAGTGCTTGGGTTTGTACTGAAAATGTCTGGAAGCCACATCCTTTTGATACTGCAGTAAGAACCCCTTTCACCGTTATCGATAGGGAAAGAGATTGCAAGTGTTGTAAGAACAGCTATTAAGAAATCTGAGTGGCCCAGTATTAGATAGTATTTGGTTCCTTCAGTCTGTGACTGCCAACTAGCAAATGATTACCCATGCTGGCCATCAATCACTTCTCTTGCAGGGGTGGCAATAGAAATTACCTTATTTGATGGAATATTGGTACTCTGTGCCGTATTGCTAATGACAACATTTTTATCTGTCCTTTTTGGCTAAGTAATTTTTGCTTTGTTTCTTTAGTGGAAAAATTAGGATAAACTTGTTTAATATTTTGAAATTTACAGGCAGGTGAACTTAACAATACTGTGACAAACATGGTCATATCAGTGTTGCTACTTGGAGTTCAAAGTGGCTGAGTAGTGTTGACTGTCTAAGAAACACCTGCAGTTACCTAGCCGCAAACTTCAGTTGTGATGACAAGGTCAGATCAGAGAGGTGGCCCACATTTGTAGAAGATAATCAGATTGGGGTTTTCTGTGTCAACATAAAAGTCCAGGTGTTTAAAACTTTGCCTAGAGTTCTCTTCTTAATGGTTATTAAAAAAAAAACAAGCTTATGATTTTATGTATGATAACTTATTGTTAACCTTTACAGAGCAAACAGTTTTTTCTTTTCTTTTTTGTGGAGGTAAAACTTTTCTTTCTTTCTTTTTTTTTTTTTCCAGACAGAGTTTCTCTGTGTGGCTTTGGAGCCTATCCTGGCACTTGCTCTGGAGACTAGGCTGGCCTCAAACTCACAGAGATCCGCCTGCCTCTGCCTCCCGAGTGCTGGGATTAAAGGCGTTCACCACCAACACCCAGTTGGAGGTAACACTTTTAATTTGCTGAAAGTCTAGGGTAGAACAGATTTTGCTTCATATATAAGTTAAAAAAAATACTCATGCTTGTGCCAGACTTGGTAACAAAGCAATAGGGATTATGAGTCTGAAAGCATAATGTCTGTGGAACGTGTTATGTCAAAGGAGAAGAAAAAATGGAAACATGGAGGTCTTTTAAAAATAGTGCTACAAAGCAATGAAACATGCCGAGAGGAAACTTGTATAAAGAGGTCTTGGCAATTCCCTGGAGTTTCCAGTCAGGATACAGCATTGGTATATCATCTTGATTGGCCAAGGGAAAAGGATCTACATATGGCCAGCAGCCCCACTATCTATGTCTAATAGGTGAGATGCTGAAATCTGACTGATGGAGAAGGCAAGAATATCGGGAGAGTATTCATATATGACAATAGGAAAAACTCACAGTAAACCGCCAAAACAAGCCTGTAGTTTTCCACTGGTCTTGTTCATCAGCAGATTTTGCACCTAATGGATTAGAAGTTTAAATACTGACTGAATTAAAAATTGAATAACCTCTTTTTTTTTAAAGTACAAGCATTGTACCTGGATATTATAAATCAGAATCCAATAAATGATTTAATATGCTTTATTATAAGTTATGTTTCTGGCAAAAAGAGAGACACTAAAAGCATGTACAACTGAGGTGTATTGTACAGCATGGCCAGTGTTGGCATCCTTGATTATTTAAACAGAGTCCCTTGCGGGAGATATTATTCCATCAAAAAGGATAAGTATTGTAACGGCACTTCAACAGGCCACTCACTGAATTTAGTTGGTGTAGGATACATGGATTCAGTTAGCTGTTGACAGGTTGTCTTAGGACCAGGGTGACTGTACTTAATAAAACTGAAGAAATTGATGCTAATGATGCCAGTGGCAGGAAAAACACGGGCATGTCAACGTCAACTTACCGATTTCTGCTTCTGTTTAGCTACAGCAGCATGGAAAAGAAACAAAGAATAACAGAGCATGCGTGTTATTGGCTTGTCAAAGGACGCAGACAATCAACAGGACTGGAAGTGTGACGCAGTGCAGTTGAGCAAGTGGACAACAGGAGCTGGGAAATCTGTGTTACCTTCTTAAAGAAGGGCATTCTTTTCTCTTTGGAGTGGGGTGACGTTACACTGTTTGCACTGGGCTTAGGGGAGCGGTGGTTTGCTGGAATATCACTCTCTTCTGCATCTAAGCCAGTAGCATCTATGTCTATAGCTATATACAGACAAACAATTCAAAAATCATCAGGTGGGTAGGAGAGGAAAAGCAGGTTATAAAGAAAATAAACTGAAAGCAAATAGACTAACCACTGTAGAAGATTTATCACGAGTAAGCAGCATATTACAGAGTAAAATATAAATGTAAGACATGTTAAGGATGCAATGCAATCAAATCAAACTAGACTGAAAGACACCCTTGTGAGAGCTCTTTCTTACACAAGTCAGTTTTGTGCTAGATCTCCTGAGTACTTTTAGAGAACCAATTTTTACTGTCTTCAATATTACTATTCTCTATATTAGCTTGTAAATGTAAGATCCAAAGCATCTGGTCACAGTACGATGTCCTAGCTCAGTTCTTAGATAAAAGACAAGTACTTTGGACACTTAATGCAGTAGGCCTCGGTCTTCTCATTTTGTTTGATTTTAATGCTAGGAAAAAGGGACCACATGAAAAGTTTCATTAAAATTGTAACACACATTTGAGGGAAAGAGAATAAAAGCCCTTAATCCAGGCCACACCCAGGAAGTCATAAAGAAGGCAAATGATTGTTAGGGTGTTCTGGGATGGACAGGATCCGATGTGATTTCAAGGTAGTATGTGTGCCCTGATTGAAGACCGCAGATTAATGAAATCATTATATTAAAATCAGTTAAGATTGGGTGGTGTCCAAGCCTCTGAGGCGGAATGCAAGAGCCCAAAGGCCCAAGAGAACAGAACTCTTGTTTCCTCATGAGTAAAGTAAAGGTTTCAGGTTGGTTCCTTGCCATGTTTTCACTTGTGAAATTCTTGTCCCTGAAAATATAGCTCCAAAACTAGTTAATGAAAATAAGGATGCATAATTTCATTTTCAGGTTTCTGAAATCTTTCTATATGCAATTGCTGTAAAATTTTATCAACTACAGAATCAATTGGTAAGTTTCAAGGATCAACTCAAACACTCTTGGTTTTTAAGACTTAGAAACTGAACCCACAGAATGAAAGGGGCTTGCTCTTGGCAGACCCAGCGCTCCTGCCTTAGAGTGGTACCCACTCATGCACCACATGGCCTTGTAAGTGAGGTACCTTTGCCATCTGAATGTATTCTTTCTGTTCCTTTTACTTCCCCACTGGTCATGTCTTTAGGTCATGGTTATGAACAATATCACATTTGGGTTTGCTAGGTAATTACTTTATGGGTATGCGATTAGGTCAAGTAGAAGAAGAGAGAATTTCTTCCCCCCCCCATTAAGCCTCACACAAAATATGTTAACACTTGAACAAATTCCACAGTGCACTGATACAAGGGACAGATGAGCAGTTAGAGTAACAGTTTGGTACTTAGGTTCAGCTACAGTACACACATTGAGCTGTGGGTTACAGAAGCCTCTCCTGGCCTTTTCAAAGGACCCAAGATCCTCTGAGACACAGCACATTGTTTTGCAGTTTCTGTGGTTTGAGAGGTTCCAGGCATGAGAAGAGGTATTTCCTGATCAGTGGTTTGTTTGTTTGTTTGATTAGTTCAGAAGTTTGTGAAAGGGTGAACACCTGACTTATCTGCACAATGTTGCAATTACCAGCTCTGGTATTTTATGGGTAGGGATTTTCTTTTTCTGTAGTCAATGCATACTAATTAGCTAAAGGTTCCGACCTTAATCTGCAGAGAAATGTCATAGTCATAAACTTTTCAAGTGTTTGAGACCAATCCAGATTTTTTTACACCACACTGTAGCATTGCTCATGTTGGAAGGTTTCTTTGTGGGGCTTCTTGAGCAATATTATCCTGGAGAGAATGTGAAAGCATTGTATCCCAACAAAGAAGCTGTTAACAACTCCCAGACATGAAGGTGAGGGTCTAGACTACTATTTCATTCTTCTACTAATAGGTCTTGACTAACCTGTTTCCTTTCTGGTGGTGTATTCCCATAATCTTTATCCTCCCTACCTTTCACTGGGCTTAGGGAAGCCACACTTGAGGACCAGTACCCTCCAAGAACTTGACTGGAACTGAGGTTAGGAACCCCAACAAATGCAAGAGTTCACAGACCTTCAGAGGGTGCTGCCATTTCTGAATTGGATTTTAGGATTTGTCCACTGAATCTCATCTCCTGTGGTCATTGGGTAGATTTGTTTTAAAAGGAAATTAATTAAAGGAATTTCAGCTGGAAATTCATAAAGAATGGGAATGCATACAGGTCTGGCCCTGACAAGGATGAGGTATTCAACACCCCTACAGAGCCTGCATTCCAGATGGAAATTCACCTTCACCTCAACAACAGCAGCTCCAAAACTCTTACTTGGTGACTTTTTGCTTTAACTTATGTCTAGAAGTTTCATCCTGAAACTTTCTTCTAAAATGTCACATTTGGAACACATGAAGAAACAGTCTTTTCAAATTTCTGTACACTTCAGTGAACTCAGATGAGTCTTCTACTCAGAGACACTACCCACTTTAATTATATACTTGTATTCCCACACCTTAGCAAGCATTAGCATTTACGTGGGAAAAGTGCTTCTACATATTTTATTACTCCACTTTTATTTACTTTCTTATCTCATTCCATGTTTATTTAGAGAACCTTAGGAATATATTTTAGTTTACTCTTAGAGTTTGGGTCGAGTCAAGCCAAGTTCAGGGGTGAGGTCTATGCACAGGTGAAGTGTGAAGTACGTGTTGTGCAACTGGAGACTACCCCATTATATGTATATGGGAATTGGAAATTAATCTTTGGTCTGGCAGAGAGTTGAGAATTATAGTTAGGACCTCTGGTCAACAAAACAGGAAAGTTATACTTGTAGGCCAGTCTACATTTACTATGGATCAGTAAGTTGTCCTTGGAAATGGACTTGGAAACATTTCTCTGGGATTTTCTGAAGATTCCCTTTAGTCCATTGAGCTATTGATATGAAACTCATCACAGAGCTTAGATATTCTGATAGTGCATCTTATGTTTGGTTTTTATCCTCAGGCCAATCAGCCTCAATGTTGATTTTTAGCAATGGCAACATGTGACTCCAAAATTAAATGTTATTTTAAATTCACACTGACTGACTTGTTCCCCAGTACACAGACATTTTTCAGCATGTCATTAACACAAATCAAGGTCATCATTAGAGGACATGGACAAATTTTACTTGTCTTCAGCAGGGGCTTTATCACAATCCGATGTAACTACCTTCCATGTTAGGGCCCCCATAACAGTCTTCAGGGGTTCCTGAGATAGTCTTTTCGATAGTTAGGATATCTGTAAGGCTAGAGAGGAATTCCTGTGATGTTACATGTTTGAGCAAGGGCAGGAGTGAACTCCTTCAGGAGTGGACTCCTTACTTGTGCACACAGGGATTCCTGAGTCCTCCTCTTGCACACATTAACACTGCAAGACCTTCAGTGTCTACTCTGAGCAGACTAGCTTGCTTAATTTTCAGTGGCTTTAAATTGCTGTGAGTTATAAGTGTATAGTGTATATACATCCTAAACTGACATTTCTTTTTGTGCTCAGGTTTTGCTCACTTAAATTATATATACTTTTGCAAAATGTTAACGTGATAAAAGATGTCAACTTTCAGGAAGTACATATAGAAGAATTTTAACTTTGCATACAACAGATTTAGCAGAAAAAATAAAAAACCCTAAAATTTATATTTAAATTCACATAAAACATTTCTGCCCCTGACAGCATGTCACAGTAGGACTAAGGTAAACAATTAAATTACATCTGTCACAACTTAGAGCAAACACAGGATATTTCCTTGCTTGATTTTCAATACCAAGAAAAAAACTTGTCTGTACTATCCCTAATTTCATGGGGGCATTTTTATTTCTGGTACACTTTAACATTTGTAGGTTTGTAAATTCAGATAACTAAAGAAGTCTGGGGAAGCATGAAAGGCATACACAGTGGTCAACACTGGTCCCCTACTTACCAGATGATGGAGGTGTTGATTTTCTGGAACTAGGTACTATGTCACCCAAACTGGATGATGAATTTCCTCCTGATTTACTGAAGTAAAGCAAAAATTCAGATTAAACCCAACAATTGTTTTAGATGCTAAAACATTATACTGCTCAATAAATGTTATAATTTATTGACTTTTTAATTGAACCAAAAAATGTGTGTTTCTAACAAGGAAGCAGCCATTTCCTGCTGGAGATTCCTGGAGTACTTGAAACAGTTTTATGATAGTCTCTGTTTTGAAGTCCCTAGGAGATTGGAAAGGAGCTAGGATAATTTCTATGGCCATCCAGATCCATGCTCAGACGATAGATGGCAAGACAGAAGAGATTTCCTTTGCCTTTACATTTAGAGGACCTTGAGGCAAGATGTAAGACCTCAAGGCTAACACCTAAAAGTAATGTTTTCTTCTTGTGCAGATCCAGTTATCTGCCCCCTGATTCTTGCCAGATTTGGAAATCTTTGTATATCCATACATATATGCATATGTATGTGTGTATAATACAAATAAATATGTGTTTATATATACATAAAACTTAGTCTTCTGAAATATGTGATACATGCATACACATATATACTGTCTCTGAGGGCATGATAGCGCACATCTTTTTTTTTTCAACTTTTTTTTTTAATTTGAATTAGAAACAGGATTGTTTTACATGACAATCCCAGTTCCCTTCTCCCACCCATCCTTCCCTACCACCCTCCCCAACTCAGACATTTTCTATCACATATCCTTTCTGCTTCCCCTGGAGGGTGAGGCCTTCCATAGGGTGTCATCAGTGTCTGTTGTAGCTTTTGGGATAGGGCCTAGGCCCACCCCGTGTGTCTTGGTTCAGGGAGTATCCCTCTATGTGGAATGGGCTCCCAAAGTCCACACCTATACTAGGGATAAGTACTGAACTTATACAGAAGGTCCCGTACATTTCTGAGGTTTCCTCACAGAAACCCATGTTCCTGCGGTCTGGATCAGTCTCATGCTGGTATTTCAGATATCAGTCTGGGGAGCAAGAGTTCCCGGATATTCAGGTCAGCTGTTTCTGTGGGTTTCACCAATCCCAGCATTTGGAAGGCAGAGGCAGACAAATCTGTGAGTTTGAAGCTAGTCTGGTCTACAGAGTGAGTTCTAGAACAGGCACAGCTACACAGAAATACTCTGTCTCCGAAAAAGTAAAACAAAGCTCCCACTGACTCTATTCTGTCTCACAACATATACAAAGTGTTAAAAGGCAAATGTAAACCCTTGTGGAAGCGAGTAGAAATACTTAAACATCACTAGACAAAAGCTTGGTAAAGAGATGCAATAAAATAAGACCAGCAAAGTCAAAGAAAGAGTCTACAGCTATAAGAAAAAGTAGTAACCTAGATCAGTAGAATAAACTGCAATATATTGGGAGTGTGACAATGATCAAAAGCTAGTTTTAATAAGGTTCGGTGAAAAATACTCGCTAACAATAATACATTAACACTAACAACAGAGTTTATATCCTCATATAAACAAGCGAGATGTGATGGAATGAAACCAGAACTCAGTTATCCACATGAAGGTAAGTCTTCTCCATCCTCCTCTAACACATTCATGTGAGAAGAAGCAAGCTATGTTTTTCAGCTTGGCTATATAGGCTTCAATATGAAATCCACCACATGGATGAGAAGCCCTCCTAATAAGTATCTTGGTGAAGGGAAGGGAAACTTAAGCCTCCTAGGAAGGTGTAGTCAGAGTAATAGGCCCAGCCTATTATATAACTCAGCTAACTGCTATTCACAAAGGCAATTTTGAAGTGCTACATACATAGTGCCTTTTTACGTGCTCAACAGCTGGGAGAACTGAAAATTGGATCTGGTAGGTGAAAATGAAACTAACAGACCACAGAAGCTGCTGTTTGCCAGTGATGCCTGAGACTGATATCCCTAAAGAATCTCCCAGCCACAATGGACAGCTACAGACAGACACTGGGATTAGTCACCATGGCAGCTGCATGCCTGGTTGTATTCAGCAAATGATCAGGAATTCAGAGTGTCCTCCATGCTGAAGGCAAAATTTAATGCTTTGTGGCCTTAGCTGTTTTTATTAATGATCATAATTAATTTGATTCTATATCAAATGTGATAAAAGTCAGAAGCTGAGATGAAGTGTTTTTAAAGGGAGCAGTGATGCTGTCAATGAATCAGACTCTGCTTAATACATAACAAGGTTTGCAGCTCTCAGCAAGTAACCAGACAGAAATGAGGGCATCGTCTGTGTTTTTATATAAACAGCTGATATTTTCTTCATACCTGGAGTAGAATTTCCCTTGCTTGGCTCTCTGTTCATGCTGTAGCCTCATGTTTTCTAGTTTGACCGGGCTTGGAATAAATCCGATTTCACAGCCTTCTTTAACCAATCGTCCTATCCACCAGTCATTATTAAATTTCTACACACAAAATCAAAAGTATTAGAATGAATTAGTGCACAGAACTTTAGAGATATGAATTGATTTCATCTACATCAACTGTTTCCACTGGAGAGAAACATGGCAGTTAGAAGCATGCATTTAATGCCACAGTCAAGAAGCCCTTGGGTTTGCGGGTTCAGTCAGAAGACGAAAGTATGCCTGGGTGATCACTCAGCAGCCCAATAGGCTTTGTATTTCCTTGTGTTTCCCTTCCCAGGGCTGCCTTGGGACCAGGCTGATTCTGTGATAAACTTTCAAGGTTCAAAAACTATTATTATCCATACCTGGCAAGAGACAATCAGGAGCTAGGAAGTCTTAAAAAGCCCTTTCCCCTATAAAATTGTATTAATCAGGAGTATTAATATTGAGAGAGAGAGGGGGGAGGGAGGGAGAGAGGGAGAGATACTGAAAGGTACCAGAAATATTTTGTGTCCACAAAATGCATTTCTGTGCAACTCTATAATCATCCTGAGTAGTATTCACAGATGGTTTTTCTTGTGTTGATGCTGACAGTTTGTCTCTTGCAGGTCAAGTATTTAACTTGAATCTTCACAATCTAATTTTATTCCTCAATTAAATCTATTCTCAAACATTTCAAAGAAAACTCATGGTTTTTCTTTCCACGGTAGAAAATGATCCATCAAGAAAAGACCCTGTATTAGTCCAACTTCCTGTTGTAAGGTGGTTCACCATCATTTCTGAACACTTTTATTTACTTTTTTTTGCAATTGTTTGAGCTCTCTTAATGGGCAGTAGTAACCTCCTTCACTCACACCTGTTAGTGCACTTGTCAGGTAATTTTCATAAGCTTCCTATGAATTCTTCCAACTGTAAATTCTCTTGGCCCCCCCCCAAAAAAACAAGACGCTTATGTGCACACAGACTGTCATTTAGGAAGAATTATTGTCACTGGTATCTCACAGAGCAAGCATGTGACATGTGGACACCAAACAAAACCTAACTAAAGGTTAATTTTTCCAATTTACAGACTGTGTCATTGTCAACTTAGGGGAACAGGGATTTCCTTGGTGCCCACTTGTCTCACTTGCTCTAATTCCTACCATTCCCTTTCCACTGCAGAAATTATGCTCCTCTGGTGGAAAGCAACAGAACCCTCTCCCAGGACGAAGGCATGGTAATCCCCAGCTGTAATTCTAGCACTCAGGTGAATGAGGCAGAGGGGTGGGATAAGTAGGGGGATCATAGAAAATTTGAGGCCAATTTCACTCTGAACCACAGAGTGAAATCTTATCTCATTAAAAAAAAGAAAAATATCCCTCTTCCTTAGATTACTCCAACTTCAGAATTGAGGGAAAATCACATGTAGTCAATCAAGGTTAAACATTAAAAGATAAAATGCAGGGCACATATAACAATGGATAACCTAACCAAATAGTTCCCAATTTCTAGGGCACAAAGTCCAAAGGGGCCCTGCCAGGAGCATCTGACTTTTTTTTTTTACATTAAACATTTCTTTCTACCAGAAAAGGTTGAGGGCCACTGATTTGGCTATATTTTAAACATTAGCAGCTAGACCGGATGCTTCTTCACAGCAGCAAGAAATGAGTGAGAGTTGAAGGTGAAAAAAATCACACTGAAAGAAACTGAAATTCTCCTTACTTCCTTAACATGCAGAAAATCTTTTGCCTCGAATGAGATGGCCATGCCTGGCACCGGAATATCATCCTCCTGGGCTGCACTGTACCTGACGTTGGTCCGAACTGCAAACGCAACAGGTTTTGTCTAAAGAGGGACAGAAGGAAAAACAATAAGAAAAGAGGTAACAGTGGCCTTCCCTTCTCCCCATCAAGTACAAAGACACCCTCAAAAAAACAGTTGGAATCACTGCTCCTTCCCTGGTTCCTCAGAACAGCTGGTTGGTATTCTCAATGACTTCAGCGATAGTGCTCAGCCACACCTACCCACTTCTGTACTAGAAAACAAAAAGGGTATTGTTCTCTTTGAAAGCATTAAAGTAATGAAAGTGAAGATAAATGAAATACATGCTTACAACATGATAGCAGGTGACTACCGGAAACCAGGACAATTTCTAATTTGGTTTGTGTGGAAAAAAAGAAAACACATAGAAACTGCTTTCCTACCCTGAATATCCACTCCAGTTAATCATTAATTAATGATATAATTCCCAATGGCAGAATATTTGGAATGGAAAATAACTAGAGACTATATGCTCCGGTCTTGGCAACTATTATTCATGGCTGCAGGGAATTGTGAAACCACTGACCTTTTTATCCTACCATTTTTCCTCTCTGGGTTCACTCAGCCACTAGAGATAACATTAATTTAGCCATCCTTCATTGCTTGGTGCTTCTGAAAATTCACAGATAAGTATCTGTTCTCATTGGCAATACATGCATATTCAGGAGATGGATAAATTAAGGAGGCTGATTTTTTGTGGCATGCAAATTCTGAGACCCGTGGCTATTTTCCCTTTCCTTGTTTCCTGGGTGCAAGATCAAACAGAATCAGAGACACCTTGGCCTTACAGAGGGCTGATGAGAATGTGGAACAGTGGAGAGCATGGTTATAGACTGCTACAAAAATCTGGGACACAGTGAGACCCAAGAGATTGTCTAGGCCTTGAGGGCAGCAGAGCTAGGTCAGCCTTCTAGACTGAAAATCAGGATGAGCTCCAAAAATGAGTTCAAGCTGCTTTTCTCCCAGCTTCAGACTCACTTATGGGCCTCCTAGATTTATCAGAAAAGCTTCATCAGGGCTTAAGGTAAAGTGGCTGGGAAAATAGACTGCAAAGACACAGGGCTAGTCCACAGCCCTATTAAGACATCTATAAGGGGAACTCTAGGGCTGGCTGTTGTAGGATTATACTTACATCTGTATTTATTCAGGGTCATTATTGGGATACCAGGTTAGCTGGGAATCAGTGTGGTCCTTCGAGGGTCACTGAACTCTGTTACTGCTCTATGGACCACATCCTCAGACCCCTCAGATGGCTCCAGGGTGATGCTAGTCCTGAATCCCTTTCTAACTTGCTTTCCTGCTGTGATACATAGGGCACCTGAGGAATCAGTGGATCATGTCCAGCCCAGATTTGCTTCTTATGACCCTGTGCTAAGATGCCACTCGGGCACATGCTATGTTGTTTAAGGTTGACTAGTAACCTATCCATGCTCTGTTGCCCCCTTTATGGCACATAGAATTAAAATATTACCTCATGAAATAAAACCAAACAGATTACCGAATCAGTAAACAATACCTCACAAGAGACTGGCACCTCACCCTCCAGGTAAAGATAAAGAACCAAAAGTGTTTTAAGAACATAAAACCTGGGGAGTCTTAGTTACCACTGTCTTCAGCCTATCTCCAGGACTTAAAGAGATGAGAACCAGTGCATGATACAAGTGTTAAAAATTTCCATTCTTTTCTTCTAGGTAGTCCTTCACCTTGTATGTGGCATATCTTATAGTAAAATTATAAAAGCAAGACTGTGGGAATGTCTGCCACATGGCAAGCAGTGTGCTGAGTGCTGGGCATAGATTGTTGCATATCACCAAGTCACTAATGGTCATTTTTTTCCAGATGAGGAAATAGGCTCCAAAAAGCTTTCCCAGAAGCTTGGCATGGTGGCTCACATGGGTAACCCCAACACTTGGAAGGTTTGGGCAGGGTGAAAGCATGTTCAACGTCAACCGGGGCTCAAGAGCAAGACCCACTTTGTAGAAGCAAAACACACAACCACAAAATTGCCCCAGGTTGTAAGCCATGGGGTGATTACACAAACCTCCTCCCCTCAAAAGCCCAAGTTCTTTTAGTAAATTTAACTTCATGGCAGTTTCAAGCTATTTACATGTTTGTATGGAATTTTGAAGACCTGAAAATTATGTTTTACATAATGTTAAAAAGTTGACTTGTACCCCCACCCCCAAAGAAAACCAAAAGCCATGAGTTTACTTTGATTCTCATAGTAACTGAGCAAGTTCACAAGTGAAAACTACTGATGTTCATTAGGAAAGTCACACACCTTCATATTGTTGTGCTTGAACCAACTTGAGCTCTATTGTGTCAGTAGCAATGGTAAATAATGATTTTCATTAATTTGGGTATATCTTTTTATCTTTTTTTCCTCAAACTTTAAAGCAGTATTTCATACAATGAGAATTGAGGTATTAAAATACTTGTGGCTTCATAGCTTCTAAACAAAGTGCCACAGCTACTTAGGGAGGCAGTGAGGAAGGACATAGCTACTTCCATTCTGGAAAAATAAATAAGCAGAAAGCTATGAAAAATTCCTTGGGATGAAGTACTAACTATAAAGGGTTAACTATAAGTATTTTTAATAGCCTGAAAGTTAAAGTTATTTCAGGAACATGATAGCTTTACTTTGCAAGTTGGTTAATTTTTTTTTTCAAGACTGATTTTCTGTCTACCTGTGCTGTGTGGCAGCCCTGAATGCCTTGGCCCTGTGCCCTCCACAGAGTACCTTAGAACTCTGCGATTCATCCTTCTGACTCCTTACATGGTTTTCGTCAGTTTATGACTTTCATCATGAATTTTCTCTGGAGATGAATACACTTCATTCTAAGGTAATTTCTGGACATGCTGCTAAAGATCCATGCCACCTGCTGTCACCACCTGTCCTTCACTCTCACACTAGCACTACTTGGCCTAGAGACCCAAAAGGATTCCAGAAATACCTTCTGTCACTGCTCCAACTGTCCACCTTTAGATGCTTCTGCTGACTCCATCCCTCTATTCCTCACTCTAGTCGTACAGTCTGTCTAGGGTCAGCCACTGATAGAGGTGTGCACAGAAAGCTAGTATGACGGGCCCCAGAGAATGGTCTACAAAATTTCCTATGGAAGCCTGTCAGAGATGAGCTTAGGGCTCAGAGCAGGGGCAGCTTTCATGTCCTCACAGCCTCCTGCTGCCACTAGACTTTACCATCAGAAAGCAATTATCATAACAATTACCATAGGTAGAAAAATATTATGTTATGAACACCTCTGGTCATGAAGTAGAAGGAACAGACCATCATAGACCCATGATATTAGCTCCAGCTTGCTTCCCAAGAGATGACTTAATGAGTTCATATTGAAACTAATATAAATAAGTACAACATGATATTTGTTTTAATTTTACTAAAGCATGCCAGTTGTATAATACTATTCAAAGGCCAAAGGGAATTCCCTGAAGATTAAAATTTTCCAATCATGATTATTATAATTATGTAGATTTTTATGTATGAACTTTTTTATCCTTGTAAAGATGCATTATATTATGTTAAATAGAAAAGCATACATTTTCATTAGGAAGCAGCAAATAGCACAAAATGAAATTTATAGTTTCTCTTTTAATGGTTATAATGGGCTTGTCTTAAAAAATAACTACTTCCAACTTGCTATCTTTTAATAAATTTAAAGAAATATAACCTAATTCCCATTAGATGGGATGATCAACAAGAGAAATTAAGGGGTTGGAGAGCCATGGCTCAGGGTTTAAGAGCACTTGCTATTGCAGTTTACTAGGGTTTTGGTCCCCAGGACCCATATGATGGTTCACAACCATCTGTAACTCCAGTTCCAGAGTAGCCAATGCCTTCTTCTGACCTCTGTTGACACTGGGCACACACATGATGCAAGCCAAACACACACACACACAATAAATAAATCTTTAAATATATTTCAAATTGCTGATCTGACCTGGTGTAATATTCTAGTAGAGATGATTCCATGATTAGTGTTATTTCAAAGATGTTATAGATAAGTCTGCATAGAGTAAACATGGGGAAGGCTGGATGGCCAAAATAAAACAGGGTGATATAAGAAAGGCTTTTCTGACTTTTCAATGATCTGTGAATCTTCAGTCAATCCATCTATTATCTTTGTACTACAGAGTGTTGTGAACAACAGGGGTGCATCAGTAAACAGTATTAGGAAGATTACCTGCCCTCCAGAGCTCACATTCTCAAGAGACAGAGCAGGTGTATCTAGTAGGCCAAGATGAGGACCAGAAACTGCTGTATGAACCTTATAACTCAAAGGCCAGCTGTTGATAACTCGTTCAGTAGCATGATAGGGGCTAAAGCCCAACAAAAGAGGAAAGAATAAAAGGAGAGGATACAGTGGGTATAGAATATCCAGGGAAATTTGTGATGAGAAAGAATGGGATGGAATTGGAGTATCACAATTTGTTTCTTTCTTGCAGTAGATGTGAATAAAAATATGACACATGAAAATGAAGAATTACTGGTAAATGCCCCTGCATAGGTAGGGGCCACAGGCTTAGGCAGAAACAAGGAATTCCATGCTAGTCAAAGGCAAGAAGGTAGAGTATACACACGTACAAACATTGAGAGTGTTATCCCAGTGACTCACATTCTTAATGGGATAGGAAGATGGGGTACAGGCAGGGGAAAAGTCAAGGTAAAAGTTAGAAGAGAGACAGATGGTCTAATATGTAGCTCATCCAAGAATGTGTCAGGCGAGTGGAGTAAGCAATTATGCTAGGTTTTGGACAAGCTCCTGTAAAGTCCCGGTAATTGATTTCTAAGCTCTTTTGTAAGGTAGTTCTGCCATGCTAGACTATAAGAAAAATCATCCCATAGGGAATTGAGTTAAAAATATGGCCCTGCTTTCTTTTAGAGGAATCAAATATTCACCAACTACTCTACATAGGACTCTGTTGGGAATGGTTAAGTCACTACAGACACTAGATTATAGTCTGATCAGAATTTAGTTTTAGTTACACATCTGTAAATGCAAGTGTATCTGTGTTTACTTAACATTAGAATGAAGCAATGTGCATATGTGTATGTTTTCCTGTATTTGTGTTACTTTGAAGTCTACCCAGGATCTCAAACATGCTAAACAGGCATGATACTGCTGACTACAGCTTCAGCCCTCCTCTTATTTTCTACTTTAAGACAGGGCATACAAAGGTGACCAGGTTGGACTGGAATGTACTATGTAGTCAAAGCTAGCCTTTAACTTACAATCCTCCTGCATCAGCCTTATGAGTAGATGGGATTACAGACTTATTTCACCAATCTTAGTTAAGGAGTAAATGTTTGAAAATACATTTGAATGGGGGAGCAGGAAGGTTGAATAGAGGAGAGAAGGATGAGAGATATTATAATAGAAGGAGCCATCATAGGTTTGAGGAGAGATCTGGCAATAGGGAGATTTCCAAAGATCTGCAAAGATGACACCAAACTGGCAATCCAAGCAATAGTGGAGAAGCTACCTTAAATGCCCTTCCCTGGGGGAATGCTCTCTCTCTCAGTCTGTATACATGGGGGAGGGCCTAGGCCCTGCCCCACATGGTATGACAGACTTTGGGCATCCCCCCATGGAGGACCTCACCCTCCCTGGGGCATGGAGGGGGGATGGGGTAGGGAGGTTGGTGTGGGGCAGGAGAGGAGGGGAGGGAGAGGGAGCTGGAATTAACATGTGAAGCACGCTTGTTTCTAATTTAAATGAAAATAAATTATAAAAAAAAGAAAATACCATTTGAAACCTTATGCTAAAACTACTAAATTTTCAGAATATGAGAGTTCTATATGAAACAAAATATATGGAATAATTAAAGTGATAAACCTGTAAAAGTTCCATAAAATATACAATTCCTAAAATATAACCTTAAAGATCTTATTTGAAAGGAAAAATAGGACAACATCCATGAATACAGAAGGAACAGGGATGGTGCTTGGAATTACAGAGTCCTATTGCTAGTAATAAAAGTGAAGACAGAAATATGCACCATGTAGCACACTTCCCTTCTCAGAATGCTCACACCAGACCCACAGTCTCCCACTAATGTATAGTAGAGCATTAGTTACTAGCTTCTTCAGGCTGTATGTTTATGCTCCAGCAATCAAAGGTTAGATCCTAATCCCAAAGTGATGGTATAAAAGCGGAATTCTGGGAAACTATCAGGTCATGTGGGTTGAGCCTTCATGGGTGGACTAATTGAACTCATGATCTTCCTTTCTCAGCCTCTTGATGGCTAGGATTGTAATTATGTGTCACCACGCCTGGCCTTATCTATGATATTTTTATACTAAAGCCATTCATAGCCAAATATTATTTCTTTGTTTAGAATTCCTATATGCAGTTGAAAAAACTGATAAATATGTTCAGTCAATAAAAATCTGCTATGTCTTTTGGTACGCATGTCCTTAGCATTCTTTTTTATTTGAATTTTTGTTTTTAATTCAGTCTTGCATAATTGATTGAACGGGACACAGGGCTTGCTTCTGCATGCTGCCTGAGACGCAGTGGGAGAACTCATGCTGACCCCAGACAGAAGACATAAGCTAAGCAGTGGCGATGACTGGCTTCTCATCTGAATAGATTCAAACACAACTGTTAGGACTCTGAGTGGCTGGAGGTATCTTTTGTGTACTTGCTTGGTCCAAATCTCAAATAAGCAGTTTTATTTACATTCTTTGCTAATACATCACCCACTTGCATATCCTATTTCTTAGCTACTTTCTCCCAATATTGCTTCTATCTTTTTGTCAAGTACAAAAACAAGCAAAACACAAAAAGTAGAATGATGTAAGGCTATCTGTTGAGGTGCCAGCAACAATACTCCCTGATGGGCCTCAGTCCAGAGTATGGCCCAGCAAACTCAGACCTGAGGCACTGCCTACATTTACCTTGACCACCATGGTTCCACTCAGTTTTTTTTTTTTTCCCCACAAAGATGGGAGGGAAGGATTTAAGTGGAATCAATAGCAGGGTCTCTTTAAGTGACTGCCTGGCATTTAAACTATTATAGAATGTCTATTCTATACTTATTTAGAAAATTACACACTACAAGGAATTTCCAAAGAAGCATTCTAAACAAATGTATGAGAAGCCCATTCAGAGTCCCTGCTGCCAAGCACAGGCAGACACGTTATGTTTTGTGGTAATTAGCAAGCATCACTTTAGCCTCTGCTCAACAGCTGTGGTCTACGATGAGTTTGTAAGATCTAGGGACCAGAAGGTATGCAAGCACTGGAGTGTCTCTTTTCCTACTTCAAAGTGAGTGTTTTGTTCTTCTTGAACAGAAAGAATTGAGGAGATCATCTCTATGACCAAACCAAAAATCATAGCAGAGTAAGTTAGCATTGTGGGCAGACAGCTCCAAATGGGAGATACTGTTTCATTGCCCACTCTGTAGAAATGAAGAGAGACTTGTTTTTTGCTAGCCTGACTTTGCTGTTGTGAGGCTTTCTAGGGTAAGGCTCTATGGCTGGAAGATGCTCTGATGGGGGTCCAAAGAAGTGAACACCAGAGGAAGGCAGAAATCTGTATTATGGATGAAAAGGTGTTTAGGAATGAGGGACACTTAGTGTGACCAAGTAATCATTTAAATGTCCAAAAATGAACTCTGAAAAACAAACAAACAAACAAACAAACAAACAAAAATGCTTTGTAATATGAGGCAAGAGAGATGGCCTGATGATTTAAGAGCACTGGCTGCCCTTCTAGAGGATCCAGGTTCAAATCCCAGCACCCACATGGCAGATCACCAACATGCCTTCTTCTGGCTTCCACAGGCACCAGGAATACGCATGGTATATAGACACGCATGCAGGCAAAACACACACATAACATTAAAGTTTTAAAAAATATTATAATGTCTTTCAAGGTCAAAGATGTCTCAAATAGCCACTCGCAACATCTCCATGTCAGTCTCCTGGATATTTAGAAACTCTATGGCCTTCAGAAGGCAAAATGTTAAAAATAGTTAGCAGTTGGGAATGGTGGCACATTCCAGTAACCCCAGCATTTAGAAGGTCAAGACCAGAGGAGCTTGTGTTCAAGGACATCCTAGGATACAGTGTTTTGGTTTTCCTCAAAAAAAAAAAAAAATCAAAACCAGATCAAAGAAAACAAAGCACAAACAAAAGGTAAGTGGATACTCCTCTAGTATCACTTTAATTTCCATGAACCAAATCTGAAAGTAACTAGAAACATGATTTAAATGAAAACACAGACTTCTTTTCCAAATATTTTTAGAAAACAAGAATTAAGAATATGCTTAATTTGAAAACTAATCATAGAAATCACTATGCTTGATAAATCATCTCAGTTACTCCTCATTAAGCAGACAGACAGACAGACACAGAGAGAGAGAGAGAGAGAGAGAGAGAGAGAGAGAGAGAGAGAGAGAGATGAGATATGGCATTACTTCTAATTACTGAAAAGAAGAAAAGCTCTCTCTGTGTGTGGGTGGGTCATTACCCCCAGGGGTATAACTTATTTAAACTATATATGTAATTTGAGGTAATCAAAATATTGTTAATAGTAAAAAATGTCTAGTAATAACACAGGCACCTCTCAAGACCCACACAAATCTTTTTGGTTCCTACTTGCCTCTTGTGCCAAGTATCTTCTTGGCAATTCCCTTGTATAAGGCCTGTGAGTGGTGTGAGACCCTCTTCATCATACTTGAGTACAGAGAAGAACAGACATGATGTCCAAGGGGCAGACTTCAGAACAAGCGTGATTGAAAGTGATAAGTGACATCATCTATCTGACTGTCTCGAGACATGGTTTGTATAGTGCCTCAGGGGACAATCTGAAGGATTAAGCAATCAGTCACACATAGAGGCACTCAAGTCAAGGATATCCATCACTTTGGTTTCGTTACTTCCTCTCTTCCTTGCTTTGGATTTCTCCCTGTGTCCCCCACATAAACTCTTTGCTTCTGCTTCCTCTTTTAGGAGAAGTTGTCTAGATGGGCAAATAAGCTGTGTTATATATTCAGTAGATATGGATATGTGTAGCCACTGGAAAACACACACAGAAAGTCAACAAATATTTAAAGGGAACAAAGTTTTAAAATTGTAGGTCTAATATAACTGCGATGTTTTTTTTTAATTTTTACAAAAGTGTGTATATAATCTCTAAGCTGTTGGGTAGATGCAGAATTCATAAACAATGTTTCCTTTTTAGGGGTTATTGCAATCTAAATAGTTTGCTTCTGTAGGTAATATTTACAGAGAAAATTCAGCTGCATATGCTATGAAAAATTTAACTGGAGGACTGGAAAGAGATGGTTTAGCAGTTAAGGATGCTTGCTGTTCTTGCAGAAGACCTGAGTTCTGTTCCTAGCATTCATATCAGGCATTTCACAACCACCTGTAACTTCAGCCCCAAGGGACCTAATTACCTCCTCTGGCCTACATGAACACCTGCACACATGTGCCACACACAACCCCAAACACATAAGAATGGCAATCTGAAAAATAAAATACCTGGGAAAAATAAAAAAAAATGTAATGCAAAAGTTCTATATCCAATGGGTAGCAAATAAAGCTAAGTGTTATTTTTAATAATTAGTGACAATTTATGAGAGAGACTGAAGGAAACTTTATATGTCCATGAGATGCTACGACACTTAATAGGCCTTAAGAAACTAGAGGCTAAATAGAAAGGAATGAAATTCAAAGTCTTACAAAAAGAGTCTGTGGTCTCTTAGGGTGATGCCCCCGACCATGTGGTCTTATAAACATATGCACATGTATGCACTGGCACACACACCAAAACAAGAAATCCCTAAGCTTGTTTCGTGTGTGTGTGTGTGTGTGTGTGTGTGTGTGTGTGTGTGTACATATCACAGTAATTTAAAAAGAGATCATGGATTGGGGGGAGGGAAGAGTTAGGAAGAGATCCAGAGACACGAATGAATTAGGTAGAGTCTTCAGGTATGAAATTCTAAATTTAAAGTATTTATTCTGTTTTCTTAGATCAAACGGTATTTACATATGAAAAAGATTGCTGTAAAGTACCAAACTCCCCTTCAGAAAAATTTGCTAATTTTCACACCCACCAGCAGAGGATAAATGTATCTATGTTCTCCACAGCTGCTAAGATTTGGGCATGAAAATGACAGAATAGGGGAATTTGTGGGTTCTATTTTCTGTAATTGAGCTCGTAACACTTGACAGAATCGGGACAGTTATTAAGGTATTTCCGCTGAACTTCAGAATTTGCTTGTTAAGTGTCTCTGACACACAGGGCACATTCTTGGCAATGGGAACACAGAGGAAGAATGGGTTTGCTCTGACCTGCTGGTTCCCCCATTGAGGAGAACAATGATCCCTGCTCATTCTTTGTATGTGTGCGAGCTTCCTAAGGAAGACATTCTAAATGATTAATGTGCATAGGTAACACTTATACACAGGGGTTGACTCTTCTCTGAGGTCAGGAGTACCAGTTACTGACAAAGCTGGCAACTTAAAAAGCGAAAATAAAATCCTATACTCTATCATTTCTAGTTCCAATAACCTAATATTCAAAATTCATAATTTTCAAATAAATGAAGTATTGCTTAAAACTGGCAAAATACATAAACTTAACAAAGTGGGAAGTGGGTCCTACAAAATATATTTACGGGGGGCAGGGGGCGCGGAGGTGTCTATATTCTAGATTTTCTTCCACTGCTTGGAAGCTATTTAAAATTCATTGTTGGAAAGCATCAACAGAACCAAAAGCATAATATTGTCATGCCCTTAATGTAGGGCATTTTCCTTTGAGAACAAGTTACCTTTCTGAAACAGCCTGGAGTCATTCAAGGCCAAGTTAAATGGATAGAGCAAGTAGATGATCAATTTGAAAGATCAACTTTTTAAATTAAAAACATTGCTTGAGGGGCTGGAGAGCCAGCTCAGCAGTTAAGAGCCTGCACTGGTTTTGCAGAGGACTTGAGTTGCATCCCCAGCACTTATCTCACAACAGCTTGTAACTCCACCTCCAGGGGATTCAGCACCTTCTTCACACCTCCACAGGCACCATACTCATGTTCCCATGCCACACATATACATGAACTAATAAATGGAAATAAATTTTAAAAAATTGCTTGACTGTCAGTCATGAGTATTTTCTTGTACACTGAATGTACTATCTCAGAAGTTAGTCCTAGCAGTTGGCTAACAATTTTTGTGAAAGAATGTTAGCCCTACTATGGCAATCTAGAAGTTTCTTTAATTCCTTTGGTTATCATAAGTCATGTAATTTTATTTTTTTATTTTTTTTATTTCATGTGCACTCGGGTTTTCCCTGCATGTATGTCTGTGTGAAGGTGTTGGATACCTCGTAACTGGAGTTACAGGCAGTTATGAGCTGTCAGTGGGAGAGCAGCCGATGCTGCCATCTCACCAGCCCTAATTTGAATTCTTACTAAGACTCTCAGGTATGATCCTGTGGTTGCTTAAAACAGGCTTGTCAAGAGATAGGATCACAAAATCTATAAACTTTGTGTTTACTCTTCATAGAAAAAATCAGGAATGGGGCTTCAGGACACACACACACACATCTCTCTCACAATCTCTGTCTCTCTCTCTGTCTCTCTCTCTCTCTCTTTCTCTCTCTCTCTCTCTCACACACACACACAACATCACATAAAGTGTATACATAAATACCATATAAAACCAGTAGTATTGCTATTAGGCTATTTTGTAAAAGGTATTTTTCAGGCTGTGCAACATTTGGTCCCATTTTGAGTGTAAACAGAGGAGCAGGATGATGTTGCACATTACTGTGCCTGTAAATACAGCCATCTGTCTAGCACCACCCATAAGGTACACAGCAATAAATAACTTATTTCTAAAAGCAAAAAATGGGTACCACCCTATACACTTTTCAAAATAGACAGGGAGAATATGAGCACATGGGC